AGACTTTAGATGTTTGTGCTATAAATATAAATGCCACTTCAAGAATCTTAATTGTCACTTCCCATGGCTATTTCTACGATGTCTGTTTTACTCAGATGCCGCCTGTCCAGGAACCTGATTCTGCCTTGCTAGTAGCCCCTTCCTAAAAAACAACCCTGCCCAAACTAGCTAGCAACATGGTCCATTATCACCCACGTTCTTGAAGAGTGCTATGCAGGGGCAGCTATGCTTCCCACGTGGTGCACCCAGATACACTACCATTAGGCGTGTATCCTAATCCTTTGAAAGATGCTTCACAAACTATATTGAGTAGCAATCAGAGATCATGAACTCCAAAATACTGGTTTTCCTGGGAAACATGTGACCATGACCAACAGGGTTTTCTTCCCGACAAGAGCTGGAAGAGGAACCCCTGCCATTAATTTTACTTCAGATTACCTCCAACCACAACTGTGTGGCCTCAGAATCTGCATTTTAACAAGCACCCAGTTGACTCTGAAAAAATGCTAAAGTAGAATACCAAGTAGCCTTGTTTTCCAAGAGACTAAAATACACGTTTACCTTTACTTCCTCAACCGCATTCAACATTTATTGAACATCTACCATGTGCCAGGTACTGTTAAGATAAGTCCTAGGGTTTGTGTAGTTATCAAAAGAAAAGTCCCTGCCCCCATGGAGCTTACATTCTACTGGAGGGAGACAGACATAACCAAAGATATAAAAGTAGCAAAACCACCTGGGAATGGTCATCCATTTAAAAGAAATAGATTCCTGGTTTTAATAAACTAAATGTGGATTTTGATAGATATCTTGATCCCATCATTTTACTGAAAGTGTTCAAAGGCAGTATTTGAAAACAACAGTATTTGTCCAACATTCTAATATACAGTATTAGATACAGTAATAAAAACACACATTAAAGAAACTGAACAAAAATGATCAGAACCTGTAAATAAGACAAAGATGTTGGTAATATTTTATTTTCAAAAACTGGGTAAGTCTCCTAGTCTTCTTGATGAAATGTGCATGGTCTTAAACTAATATATTAAATATCAACATCCAAGCCCTGATAATCATGCACGGTTTGCTACACCTGCCCAGGATTGTCTATCTCCATGTCAACACCTCTGAATCAAGGATTTCTCCCAGCTTCATTATCCTAGTCACCACTCCTTTCCACATCTGAATCCTTATTAGATAACCACGTATGAGATGGGCCATGTGCTCACATATAACCCAAAGGAAATTAGCAAAAATGTTTTTGTAAGTGTAGTCCTTTTCAAAAAGAAGCAAACTAAAAATTTATTAAATGGGCATTCTCAATTCTGTTTAGCTATGTTAAGACATATACATGAACTTGATTTTTGTGAGCAAAGGTAATCTCATAAATCACATTCAACTCATGAGTTGAACAGTGAAATCTGACATTTATACAGTATCAGTATCAATTCTCAGGACAGGCATAGTTTCATAGGGCTATATATTTCCTGCCCATTTTGTCCAGGTTTTGGACTGCTCTTCATTGGTAAATCATTATTTTGTAAAACATTTTTCGGTAAACATCGATAAACATTTTTTTGGAAAAAAGATGTAGGAAGAGGAAACAAACCAAAAAAATCAGTCAGGCAAGTATGGTATATGGCAAAATCAGGTTTACCTCATGTCAGTTCACAAGAACAAAGCAGGTCAAAACAGGAGGTCCATAGACAAGCTAACCCAGCTGCAAAACCAACACGTGGACAGAGATTACTTTTCAACATACAATCGTCCTGGCTTTCCTTTAACAGCTATCGAACACGCTTTCGTTTTATTCATGTTTGGTAAACTTTCCAAGATGACTTCAAGATATTAGAAATGGAACACTTTTCCAGAAGAACATTTCAGAGAAGCAATGGTTAATTAAAAAGAAAATGCAGCCCTGGCTGGTTTGGCTCAGCGGTTAGAGCATCAGCCTGCAGTCCAGAGAGACCCAGGTTCGGTTCCTGCTAAGGGAACATACCTCAGTTGCAGTTTGTCCCCAGCCCCGGTTGGGGTTGTGTGGGTGGCAGCCAGTCGATGTGTCTCTCTCACATTCATGTTTCTCTCTCTCTCTTCCCCCCTCTCTCCCTCCCGCTCCATCTGAAGATGAATGCAAAATGTCCTCGGGTGAGGATAAAAAAATGGCAGCAATTTGAAAAAGTTTAAAAATTTAGCTTATGTATTACAACTGAATTGGAACAATAAGGAAACCATTTATTAGATACACATCTTTAGTCAACCGTTACTCTAATTGAAATTCTTGTTTAAAACCCAAACTATGAATGTTATGTGGATTAACCACTCTTCTCCTGGAACAAAAGCTTAACTTACAAAAGGGTCCATTACTATTAGTGCCTCACCCATTTCTTTGCCTAAGATTCAAAAAATTAAATAAATAAAAAGGAAAAAGAAAAAAAATATATAGTTCTCCCCTTTTTATTTCCTGTATATAAACTGAACTTCCTTCACATTTAGGCAATTCTAAAACCAAAAGTCATTCTTGCTCCTAAGAGATATTTACACAGAATACCTTGTGAATTAGTTTCTAGCCTATCTGCATTAATTTTCAAAACAGACCCAATTTAAGTAGCCCAGATTTCATATTAATATAGCATTTAAATACCACGCTAACTATAATTGGGAATAATACCTTTATAAAAAGTCATAAGTATTCACTTTATTTCCTTGTTTAAAAATAGCATAGATGGCAATCTAAATCATATTAACCTATTTGAACACAATTACATAGGATATTTTATTACTATACAATAGCAGAATTCATATTTAACAAAACCCGCTCATTTAGACCACTTAAGACTTACACGGACTAGTAAAAATCTTTTTCATCTTTCCAATGCATACTAAAAATGCAAATTCAATGTTTAATATATTAAGTGGAAGCCCAAAGGCTGATTTTTAATAGGTAAGATTTAATTTGGGCATATTTGCTAGAAAAGTGTCTAATTTTACTAAATTCTTAGTTTTTGTCCAATGCAATCTTTACTCACTACCAAAGATCAACCTAGATATGGTAAAATAATGGTTTCCATCCTTTGTGGACTCTAAATTAATGAGACTTTACTATATTAACATTCAACAGCGCACATATTTTTAGAAGAATGTAAATTTCTATTCCTCCATATCAAGTTTTAATTCAACAACGCTAATGAACTTTTTAACACAGAACAGAGAAATAGGTCCTGAATATATGTATACTCCACATAACATACCTTACTAATAAATTAAAATAAAATTCCCTATTTCATGGCAACCTGGATCATGTAATAAACGACAATAAAAAAAGGCCACTTACATAGTCTAGTCTTTATTGAAAGACTTAATTTCAACTGTGGTTTACAGCTTTGGCTTAAGTTGGCCAGTCATTTTAGCCTGTCACTGCCAGCAGACGTAAAAATCAAGTGGGAATGCCATGGTGGGAAATAGTAGTAGAGATTATCGGAGCAAAGAAGATGGCAGTCAAAACCGTATCACCAAAGTCAATCTCAAAATAATTACAAAATAAGAAACATTTCTTGCATGCCAAAGAATCTCTGCTGCTGTTTCTAATGAACACAGAAAAGGCAATGATTCTTAGGCCTCAAGTGGATCAAGACAGCACTGACTTCACGGTTACGAGTCTGTTAGCTCGACAGCTTTATTCGAAGATGGTGTATTTCATTTGGATATTTAAAAAACCACTTACTATGAAATAACTTCCACTAACTGATCATGAAATCTTGTTCACTTTCAGATTAAGATAAAGGACACTTCAGTCATATGTTTGCTATGGCAATATAATTAGTCCTTATGATTTTATTAACTCATAGAATATACAACTAGGAAACAATGCAGCTGTATTGTATCGCAATAAGCTACTTAATTTACTGGCAGACCAAAAGAGGCAAACTGAGAATTTAATAGGCTTTTATCAATATATTTTTAAAAAGTCTTTAATTGTTCAAGTTTCACATATATTCAAGAAATTTTTAACTAGGAGGCATAATTGATATAATTTGAGTGTTCTCCTTATAAAATATAAAATAACTCCCACAACATCCCCCAAAGACTCTAACCATGAACAAAAGAAATAAGGGTATATTTTATAACAGAAGAGTATAATAGATGACTACTGTGGTTAAAACTAAAGTGTCATAAAATATTTGGCCCAAAAATGAACTTCAGACTCTGAATTTTCAGGTTTAGTAACATTTGGCTATATTTCTAAATGGGGGAAGAAGGAAAATAATACCAAAATTATTGTGGCTACCAATTTATAAAACCACCATTATTTCCAAGCTAACTGTAAGACTTCAAAAGTTTATATAGTAATCTGTGGATATTAGTTGCAACTTCTTATTAGCTATAAAGGGTTTTCTCATTTTAGTACCCAGGCCTCAAAACATTTCAAATATATTGCCTAAACATTTGCACCCCCTAGCTGTCAAATCCAGATACATAGGATTTTATCTTTTTTATATTCCTGTTACAATAAAAATTTGAGGCAGATTTTATCCACATAGCCTGAAAAATACCTCAGAAGCAAACCTCAACTTCCCCACCTATCCAACTGATTCATTTACAAACACTGCACTCACACCACTCAGCCTCTGTTTAGGCTTGTCATCCCATGCACGCTACCCACACAAGAAAAACAAATTAATTAAAAATAAAAGTCACAACTCTGTGTAATATTTCAGCTGAATATCCAATTATAAATTGGTACATTGAACTGTCTAAATAAGATGTTTTAGCAATCTTGTTTAAAAAATTCTTGGGCAAAATATATCTAATCTTAAAAAACACCCCAAGATTTTTTAAAAAAACACCAGTATTATACAATTTATAGGAACCTTGAAATAGTTTAAGGTTTTAGTCAAGGTATTTACATACCAAGTGATGTAAGAGCAAAGGGAAACAAAAGCAAAGAAAAAACTCTAATTTCCAATGACATTTTAAAATGTACTAATGCATCAAAGATTTGTATGAAATTAAAATTAAGGCTTTTTCTGTATAGTAATTTGTATAATTTTAATTTTACATAGTAGCCAACCTTGGAAATGTCAGTCTTAAACATTCTTATCAACCCACAGCATTCAATGCAGTGGAGTGTGTTAAGTGTTACTTCAAATAATTACATTGCTACTTCTATGCTGAAGCATGCTTTTTAAACACTGTAGTTAATATTTACAATGTATATCGTTTAAACTTCATGTAAAAGCACAAGTATGACTGTCTGACTTTAATACAAACACCATACTTGGAATCCCCCCCCCAAAAAATGAAATGTAATTTACTACAGTTTTAATAATCAACACTTTTTAAAGTCTTAAAAATATGTCTTAATGTGGATCACCAACATTTGCTCAAGTAACTCAGACAATGCTGTTCCTTATTTAGGTTGCAAAATTTCTTTATCAGTCTGGCTTCAGTTTCTTTAAGCATAAAGTAAATATTTCCTCCAAAGCGACTTCAAAACCATGCATTTCTTCTCAACATCACACTTTTTTCTGCTGACTTCGAATGTGGTCCACCTCAGGGTAGGGGAGGGGAATATCAAGATTCAGGATGAACTTATATGTGATTCCCAGTTTTTCACAATCCTCCCTTTTTTGCTCTTTTAAAAACAGTGAGTTAAAATACTGAACAGCAAGATAAAAATGGAATAGTATCTAATAATCAAAATGTATTAATTACCCATTTCTCCTATTATATCAAAATTTGTAGTCAGAATTGTCTTTATTGACTTTATTTTAGTTTTTGTACACAAAGAAAAATCATGTTCATATCCATCATGAACAAAAACTTAAAAAGGCAGAACTAGAAGACATGGGTCCTTCACCAAAGCAAAGCTGTGCTAAAGGTTCCAAACATTTCAATTTTTAAAATAAATATTTTCATTTTCCGATGTCTACTTCCATGTCTTCAGAGTGTCACAGGAAACTGAAGCTATCATGAATTACAATTTTGTTTAGAGTCCCAGCTCACTGCGTTTGGTAACTTGCCATACCATATCCAGCTTGGTTAGGAGGAGGTATTACAGGGGGAGGAGCTTGTCCTTGGGGAGGCTGAGCACCAAATCCACCCATCCAAGCAGCAGAAGGTGATTGACTTGGAAGAGAAAAGAAAAATCTTCAGCAAACACAAAGGAAAAATTATGCAATTATACAAAAATCAAGCAGAGCCAAATCACAGAACAGACAAGTAATCAACAAACCTACAACAAAGAGCAAAGAAATAAATGACACAGAGCCACATGTGTAGAATACATATTACAGTATTAGTCTTAAATTTTTGTAAAGATAATAACTACAACACAATGACTTCTCTCAAGAGTATCTCAAAATAAATAAAAAGATAAATGATTCAACACATCATCTATTATATATTGCACATGGTGTATAAATTTGCATGAAATTTTAAAAATATAAGTTCATGTTTGAAAGAAAAAAAAGAAGGAACAAGTGAAAATAAAAGTGGTTGGCCTAGGGGATAAAAGTGCAAGGGACCAGCCCACTCTATCAACAAAGAAAAAAAAGCAAAATACTTTTCAAATCAGATAAATCTCTGAGACTTCTCACACAAGCCAAAAGATATAAATCATTAAATTTCTGAACATATTTAGACAAAGATCTTTTCACGCAAAAATAAGAAGATAAAATAGTAGTTAGAAATGTAAATCAAATTCTACCAACTGCTTATAGAGGTAATAGGAAACACCAAATGTTACCCCAAACTACCTTTCACCTAGGTAATAAGAAACAAATTTTTAGCATCATAAGCCACTTTTTAGGAGGTTTCTAAAATGCTTATAATTCCAAATAGTTCAATGCATTTAATTTAAGTAGATTCTCCCTAGGAAAACACACTTTTTTATTTCTTTTGTCAGAACCATATCCATTTCTACACTGGAAAAACTAAAACTTACTCTACTCCAAATCCTTGTTGATTCCATGGTTGCCCATACACTCCGTAAGGCGGTACTTGCCACCCATTTGCCATATACTGTCCATACTGTTGTGGGTTTCCATAAACTTGACTCCACTGACCCCACTGACTATAGTCGACCTAGGATAAAGCAAATTACTGTTTTAAGGAACAAGTAAGAAATACAGTATTTGAAGAAAGTGGGCGACAAGGAAGAGAAAAACTAAGTAAGCACCCTTATGTGAATAGGACTCTGTTATTTATCATTGTCTAAGTTTATTGGGGTGGTGACACCTGTGAAAAGAAAGTATTAAGATTCAGTTAATACCACAAAATAATCACTTTTGAAATAGCATTAATAAAAATCAACTGTAAGCAAATCTATGCTTTATTTTTTTTTATTTCAGTTTCTAAGCTTTTATGTAGGTATGTAAGACAGAAACCTTAAAAAGTGTAATGAAAAATTCAATTACCTGTTGGAAGTTTTTAGTCATATCAGGAGATTCTTTACCCCAATAGCATTTCACAACATGTCCTTCAATCGTAGTACCATTCACCGAAACAATAGCATGGGCCGCACTTTCGTGGGTTGAAAATCTAAGAGAAAAATACAAAAGTTTTTTTGAAGAACTTAATACAGTAAATTAGTTTAAACACTCATTAGTTTACAAGTGTCAACTTGATATTGGTATCTGAAAGTACATTATGTAGGTGGTTTAAAGAAGTACTAAAATAACAAATTCTGATACCTGGGGGAATCAAATAATGTAACTGAAAGAAATGGACCAAATGTAAGAGTAATAATATTACTGGTAGAATTTTACCTGACAAATGAATAGCCCTTCTCTGGAAAAACTCTTATTTCCATGATTTGTCCAAATGGTGAGAATGTCTGTCTCATAAGCTGATCTGAAAAACAAAAACATATAGACTATTCAAGGCTCATGTTTATCATAAAATCGGTGCTAATCGTGATGAAGCTCCACAGAGAAGGGGGTTAGAAAACCAAACATGGTACCTGTTAACCCAGAAGCAATTCCTCCACAGTACACAGTACAATTTTTTGGACTTGACTGGTTTACTACATCTTCAAATCTCAACTGCTTAGTGTTATCTGTGTACACAAAGAAAACAAATGTGTTGATAGCTGTATAGTGTTATAAAACTGATTACTATATCTTATTAAGATTGCCTCATTTGGGGGAAAAATACAATTTATTTTCTTGATACTCTGATTTGATCTATAATATCAGCTGGTTTACAGCTCCAAATACACTCACATCAAAGCCTAATTATTTTCAATTATATTCAAGATGAAATGAGTCTTGCAATGCTAATAACATTTTTAAGAAATAAAGATTATACTAATATATGATTTTGTGAAGTATTCATAATTTAATGTATATACCAGACATATCTTACTTTCTTGTGTACTTTTAGGTGCAGGTGGTTTACGTGTGGCCCAATTGGTTCTGATTTGGCGACCACCCAACCACTGACCTCCCATATGCACAATTGCATTTTCTGCATCCTATGGAGAAAAAAAGAGAAAGAAAGAGCAATTACAAACAGAAAATAGTGGTATATAAGACCCAATAAGATTAAAGAAAATGTTGGCACTGATGGATCCAAAAAATCTTATCAATAAAGAAATTCACTGAGCATCCTAAACAAAACTGGACTAATATTACAAGAAAACTATTTAAATTGAGTGATTCATAAAAGCTATTATTATTTATAGATTTCAAAATAAGAGGACAGCATTTAAGCATCAGGGACATTTAATCACATTCCCATTGATGACTTAAAAAAAAAAAAAAAAAGGCAGAAATCCCATAAGAGAAAGTTGTTTTCAAATATTTTAATTTTATGGATGATTAGTAATGTAACTTCTACTGAAAAATATACAAAGAACTTAAATGTTATGGTCTAAATCACCAACCCCCCAAAACATCCATTCTAGTAGCAATGAATTATAACTACAAAACTAGATTAAAAACTCATTTTAAGGCAGAGGACTTCTACACTGTTGTAGAATGCTGTAAAATGTCTGCCAATAAAAAGAGTTTAGATTCTCAGAATTAATGTGAATTTGCAATGAATCTAAGCAAAGAAAGTATATGACTCCTGCCCTTTATCTTACTGCTTCAATAAATGCAGGTAACTTAAGTTGCTGAAACTGTTCTAAAATGCTAATGCTAAAAAGCCCACTGATGTTACAATTAATGCAGATGGTTAGATATTTTAGTACCTCTTTCTTAAGGAATACATGCAAAAATAAGGATGAATTGCTTCAACTTTCATTCGTGTAATTTGCTACAGGCATTAATATTCTAGCTACAGAAGTATGAATAACAAAAGTTAAAACTGAGATTTTCATAGTTAAGAATAAATTCAACTTCCCTCCAAATTCTTAGACTACTTCATTTGTCCTAGTCTTGAGCTTTATTCCTAATAGTTATATCTTACCTTCACCAATGCACAAATGCACCTTTAATACTCTCCTTATTTATAATCAGCCTATCTTTTTCCAGCTATTTATTTTCAAGCTTATGAAAAAAGAATGAATTATACTCTATCATTAAAAAACACAAAATTACATAAAAGCTGTGTTTGTAGTTCATATCTAAGAATATTCAAGTTTCAGATTAACTAATCACTAAATTTTGTATTAAATTTAAATTGAGTTGAAAGAACGTACCAGTTTGTTATAAAAAGATACAAAACCATAGCCTTTGGATTTTCCAGTTGCCATATCTTTAACTACTCGGGCATCCCTGTGAAAAGAAGCACAGCTAAATGAGGGAAGTAAGAGTCATCCTCAAAATAAAAACTAAAAGGAACCACACACACTGTATTGTGAGCATTTTTTTAAATAAAATTTCAGTTAGCCCTAATTAACTACAGCCATTCCTGAACTCTCCCTAACGCTTCTTTACCTGTTAGAAAAAAGCAGTAGGACAAAAACATGTAATAAACATGCAACCTAATCAAATAGCCTGTGCTTTCTAAACTAAATGCTCAAATATGAAGATTAATAGGAACAGTAGTTTCCTTTTCTAATATTCTATTGGCTAGTGTCCTCTAAGGTTTACTGATTCTATAAATTACTGTAACAATGCTAACTACTTTACCATGCAAACTCTAAATAGTTAAATGTCTTCTGCCTAGTGATACAAAATATATGAAATATTAAAAAATTGAAAAAGAGGAAAAAATAGGAATTAAAAAGGCATACATGGCCTGTTAACAGATTTCTTTATTTTTCTTGGTCAATTCTCTATCATCATTTTGGAGTTTGGGCAGCTGTAAATTTTGAAAAATTGACATTTTCAGAAATTTAAGAAAGGAGAATAAAAAACTAACAACAATGCTAAGCACACCAGTACGAAAACAACAAATTTACACAGAAATTTTAGTGAGTAAGTTAAAATGATTGGAAATATAGAACTCCACTGAATATAGAATGTTAAAATGTAAATACTAAAATATGTATATATAAATAATGTATAATAAGAATAAATAGAAATGAGAAAAAAATCTACAACTGAGTTCCAGTGTGCACAGTTCCTTGCAGTTAGCCTTCAAGATCCTGTCCATTCTTATGAGCAATTCTGCAAAATAACCAGAATGCTATTACTTTTAATTGTGACTTGGACTTTAGAAAAACTGCAGCTCTCAGGTATAAATAAAGACTGAAAAACAGCAACCTGTATTATTTTTATACTGATTTGCTACTTACCACATTTAGAGATTAAAAAGCAAAGCAAATATCAAAACAGAAAATTAAGAATTAAATATTTCTTTCAAGTAAATTAAATCTATAGAACAACAAATTATATATAGAAAAATATTGTTGTTCTTAGTTGAAACATATTCCTATGAATACTAAAATGTTTCATTTTAATCTACAGGAAATACATAAAACTTAATCAGAAAGATAAATTATGACAAACATTTTATAGAATTGTAACCACTTTTAATTTTCCAATATATCTGATCAAGTAACATAAAGTGAAATTTGAGCATCAACTTTGTTAAAATCAAACCACATTTGGGCCCTAATTAGCAGAATAAAATACCACTAACAACAACAAAAAAAACCTACTAATTAATCCCAAATTTATGGCTCAAACATTGAAACATTTTAATACTATAACAGTACTACTTTTTCAGCTAAAATATTAAAACACATTTATCATTATAATTAAACATATACATTTCCAATTTAACCACACTATACCCAAGGATTTATTTACTTTCCCCCACTTATAAAAAGTTTAATACACAGTATAAATCACATTTATTTTTGGTTAACCCATTATCTTTAACCACCAAATATTGAAAACATTTGACAAAAAGTTGGACTTTATTAATAGGTTTTACCACCCAAATATCTGCTTCAAAGATAACAAACAGAATCACTTAAAATTTTTAAACATATCATACACAGGATTAGATGAAAACAAGACCCCAAAACATTAAAATGACATTAACATTTTCAACAACATCTACTAATCAAAAAAAAAAAACCGAAACAAACAAACAAAAAAATCACACTAATCAGGGAAAGAAAATCTTAATTCTGATACAAGTTAATCATATACAGTTGTGCCTATTACTATTGAGTATAGTATTGCTTATGATACTTACGATATTTTACCAAAGGGGGCAAATGCTGATTTGATATCTTCTGTTGTAATTTCTGGACTCAAATCCCCAACAAACACATGGAAGTGATCTGAAATCAAAGTATGTGGTCATCAAATACTTAAGAATTTAGCTATTAAACCTTTTATAGGCAACACTAAGGGGAGAAAACACCCTACGTAAGTTGGTAATGCTGCCAGGATAATTTCAGAACTCTCCCACAGTAAAATGCAGCAGGAGTACTTACTGGAAGTATCTTTTTTCTGGCTACTTGGTGTTGTTGCCCAGTTTACTTTGACCTCCTAAAAATAAAGATTATATTTAATACAATTATTAGACATGTCAATAAAAATCATAACACGTACCACTTATTAAATCATTTATCAAGTAGGATAATTTTTGTAAAAGCACTAGGTCGAATAAAGCAAAACCATCACTCAGAAGAGCTGAATATTCATTTAAAATCTTGCTAAGAAAGAATGCAAACTAATTTGGCATGCAAACACATATACTTGTTAGGTGCCATCATTCTATTATCTTACCTTTCCCAAAATTTTTCTCCCATTCATAGCAGCTAATGCAGCAGCTGCATCTCTGTGTTCATAAAATTCCACAAAGCAATATGGGTCATTGCTTGTATGCTGCAAAACAGAAAATCCAACAGAAGAGTTGACCCTTCTGCTATCGGGTTGCTGAGAAGAAAATCCAGGAAAAAACATTACTGATAGCTAGGAATGTACAGGTGAGATTGCATAAGCTTACGAAAGCCTAACACTTTATAATTAAGACTTATAACTAGACCTGACTTTGCACCTCAGGATACTGTTGTACTCCAACAGAACTATCAAAGCAGCATAGAAGTATGACTATCAGCATTAAATCAAAATATAAAATTCTGGTGAAGTATGATAAATATAAAATAAAAATTTATATTAGACCAAACAAAACCTCAGGTTCAGATTTGATGGCTTTAAGGACCACTTCCTTACCACTGGTCTTCTCTCCCAGTGTTATTTTCAAAAAGATAAATTCTATTTATGCATCATAATCCTTCACTAACTGTAACCCGTGACTATTAGAAATACAGAAATGAACCAACTTTTTTCTTGATCGAAAATATTAGCACTATATGAGACAAGATTATGTATTTATTTTACATATAAGAATGAGAATAAAATCGGAAAAGTTCAGATTTATAGTCTGCTTCTAAAGTGAACTCCCTTTCAAAATATTCAAAAATATGTATTGGAGATTCTATATATTTTTTTTTAGATAGAGTGGGAGGGAGAGAGAGGAAGAGAGAGAGAGAAACATCGACGTGAAAGGGACACATCAAGTGGCTGCCTCCCGCACAACCCACCCAGGGCTGGGAACAAACTGCAACCGAGGTACATGCCCTTAGTGGGAACCAAACCCGGGTCTCTCTGGACCATAGGCCGATGCTCTAACCGCTGAGCCAAACTGGCCAGGGCTCTATATACTTTTGAATTTGGTCTTCAAAGACCAGAAAAATACACTAGTGACTGAGGAAAAAATGTTCTAAAAATGTCTCTGAATAAACATTTCAGAATAAAGCTACAATTTTATATCACAAAGACACAGATATGCTTGACAGTAGTTGGCCAACAGTTATTTATAAAGACTGTGAGAAAGTAGTACACCTATATCACCTAACAACCTAAATGGAAGTAAATTTCATAAACATGCAGCCTGTATTGGAGAGCTACACAACTGTACAAATTTATTTACATAAGGTTAAAACATTCATCACTGTTCAGTGTAAAATGCCCTAAAAAAATAATATTTAAAATGTGGAATTCTAGTTGCACTTACAAAGGATAAAAACACCAGATAAAATAAAGATCTTTTCAACAACCACTGCTTTTCATTCCAGGAAAGTTTTAGAAGAAAAATCCAAAATAAGACGTCTAAAACAATAGTGGCGAAGCAACCAGAGGATTTCCTTGAGGGGGAAAAAAATGTGATCATTAATACTGACAAGAAAACTATGGGCTCCCATACAAAATCCTATTGTTATAGCCACATGTAGCTGTTCTTAAGAGGTAGAGAAAGAAAACGGGGGAAAGGACTCCAAATAAAAATATGCACTTAAGTTCTTCTTATAAAAAAGTTAAATTTACTAGCAACATTCATTGAAGAGAGAATTTTAAAGGTAAATAATAAGCTAAAACTGTGCTAGTCATTTTTTCTTTTTAGTCCTCCTTTTTCTGCCCTATGGACTCTAAGGAAAACACTGATAATTGTAGCAAAACATACAGGAGTCCAGTGGTAGATCTATAACAATAGGCTTTAGTAAACTAGTCTACTCACCACACTGACTTCAAGTTTATATAAGCAGTAGTACGCCGGATCACATTCAGTGTATGTACACACATTTATATATTAACATCACACTGAATTTCATCTAAAGACCTCACTGATACCTGTCACATCCCAGCTGTCAGATGTGTTAAAAATTTTTATAGATAATATACATTTATTATAGTATACAGGGAAAGCTAGTATCTAAAATAAACAGTATCTAAAGTGAAAAAAATCATAAAACTGCCCTGGCCAGTTTTGCTTAGCAGTTAGAGCGTCAGCCCATGGACCAGAGAGTCTCGGGTTTGATTCTGGTTAAGGACCCTGATCAGGGTTGTGTGGGAGGCAACCAATCGATGTCTCTTTCTCACATCAATGTTTCTCTCTCTCCCCCCTTCCCACTCTATCTGAAGATAAATGGAAAAATATCCTTGGGTGAGGATTTTTTGAAAAAATCATAGAACTAAGGGGAAGAAAGTGCCTGGCCGCGTGGCTCAGTGGTTTAGCGTCAACCCAAGCACCAAGAGGTCGCCAGTTCGATTCCTGGTCAGGGCACGTGCCCAGGATGTGGGCCAAATCCTCAGCGGAGGCACGCAGAAAGCGGCCAATCGATCTTCTCTCTCATCGATGTTTCTATCTCTCTCCCCCTCTCTTTTACCCTCTTTCTAAAGTCAATAAAGAAAAAAAAATTTTAAACAAAAAAAAAAAAAAAATACTAAGGGGAAGAAAGGATTTTTAATATGCTGAAAGAAAAGTAATGAAAGAAAAATAAATGCCTAGACAGTCTGTACTAGAGTTTCATGCTCTCTGGGAAGCTTCCCAGTTACACCATTGGCAAGTGACACCTAACATCAACTGTTTCCTTAATTACTGTTGTCACCAAATTTTCCTTTTAATCCTTACCCGAGGACATATTTTTATTCATTTTAGGGGATGGTGGGGAGAGAGAGAGAAACATTGATGTGAGAGAGAAACATGGATTGGTTGCCTTGAGTATGCACCCCAATGGGATCAAACCGTGACCTAGGTATGTGCCCTGACTGGGAATTGAACCAACAACCCTTTTGGTGTATGGGACCATGCTCCAATCAACTGAGCCACCCAGCCAAGGATGTTAACAATTTTTGTTGGATGACATAAAAGTCAAGACAGAGAAATGAGACTTGACAACTATTTACAAGTTCAAGTGTGGGAGTTGTAGAATATGGATACATTTTGAAAATTCATTTCAAATCCCTCTACCCTGTGGTTTTTTGTTGTTGTTTTTTTTTAATAAAAAACTAGCCCTGGCCAGTTGCTCAGTGGTTAGAGCGATTGCCTGTGAACCAAATGGTAAAGGGTTCAATTCCTGGTCAAAGGTACATACCTGGGTTGCAGGTTCGATGCTGGGCCCTAGTCAGGGTCATGCAGGAGGCAACCAACCGATGTGTCTATCTTACATCGATGTCTCTCTCCCCCCCCTTCCCTTTCCACGTTCTAAAAATGAATGGGAAAATATCCTTGAGTAAGGATTAACAAAAAAATAATTTAAAAAAAAAACACTTTAAATCTTTATCAAATGTTTTACAAAAATTTTCTAGTGATTCTACTTTTTCACATCCCATTCTCTCCTAAACCCACTCCAGTCAGTGTCCAACCCAACTAAGCCATCGAAACTTTAACAGTCCACTCTAATCTTGGTTTTCTGTTTTCTCACTGCGGGATCTTTCAAAAGGTAGCTTTTCCTCCTTAACTCAGATTCTAAACGTCTAAGTTTTGAGATGCTCCAGGGCCCCTCTACTCTTCTCTATCAGCACTCTCTCTGGATCTAGGAACTAAATGTCACCTAGTCCCATGGCTTCAAATACTACTGCAACCTGGTATTATCAGCTCTGGTCTCTCTCAAGTTCCCAACTAGTTTATAATGGCCATTTAGCTATCTTAATGCACACCTTAAATTTAACATTGCCAAAACAGACCTCCTAATTCTCACCACTCCCCCCATCCAGCCTGTGCCTCCCCCCGTCATATCCATTTAAACAAATACATAGCATTACCATCCATATAATTGCACAAATAAGAACCTTAGAGTCATTCTTGATGTCTTCTTTTCTATTATGTCCCATAGCCAATCGAGTACTATTGTATCTACCTCCACAATATATCCCAAATTTATATACCTCTATTTCAACAGCTACCACTCTAGAGAACAAATCCACATCACCTCTTACCTAGACTAGTGAAATAAAGCCAGCTCGTTTCCCTCCTTCCACTCTTCCCCCGCTACAATCCATTCTCTACACAACAGTCATTCTCCAAATAGAGTACCTTAAAATACAAATCAGAATACATTACCCTACTTAAAACCCGCTGCAACCAGAATAATATCCAATCTCTCTGTCATGGCCTGTACTGCCCTATGTGATTCCAAACCCTGAGTGCCTACCTCTTCAGACTCATTTCTCACCAATTCCCCCCACTCACCAGGCTCTAGTTATCCTTAGTCTTTGACTGAACCAACACACCAAGCTCATTACCAATTCAGGCCTTTGTATTTGCTGTGCCCTCTGTTTCTAGCTGCTCTTAAAGTAGATGTTTCTAGCTCTTAATGTAGATGGTACCACCTTGTTATTTTTGTCTCAGCTCAAAGAGGTGACATCTTCCCTCACCACTTAGCCCATATAGCATCAACCCTCCAATCATCATCAGAGAACTGTTTTTATTCTCTTCATAGTCCCAGCTTTGAATATTGCCCAGCACAAAGTAAATTTTGATGAATGAAAAAAATGGATAGTCAGAAATAGGAAGAAAACACAATATACCAGAAAAGACTGATGATTATCACTAGTTAGGAAAATAGATCAAAAGGATAATTTGCTTTATAGATTTTTAATACTTTTTTCTGTCTCAGGATAGAACACAAACTCCTTAGCACAGCTTCACACTCCTCATCTCTTGGCATCTCTATGACTAACCAATCCTGTTGGAAACTTCAAACATGCTATGATTTCTGTCTTTCCTGCTATTTCTCTCACAAGCATTTCCATTCTGTCTACCAGACTAGATCAACATTCCTCTCTCTCTACCTGGAATCCCTTCTTCCTCAAGTTTCTTTCAAGCCAGTTTCCATTACTATCCTTTTCAGTTTCAACCTAGACACTGACTTCTCTAAGAAGCCTCTCCAGACCTAACACTGTATGGAAGCTATGTACTCCCACAGCACTTTAAACTGCTTCCATAGCATTTATCATATATCATTAGTGCCTATTAACTCCTCTGTCTCTCTCATTAAACTGTAAAACTCTATGGGACTACAAACTGTCTTATTCACCACTGTATCCCTAGCACTTACCGTAATACCTGGTACAAGAAAATAATCTGGGGTAAAAAAAGCACTGAATGAACAAAAAAGAAGAGAACAAACTGAAACACAAGCCACTGGGCACGGCTACAGTCTTAACCAGGAAAGTATAAAAAGCAGTTTTCTTTGGAAAAAAAAAAGAAAACAAAATTATTATGCTAAAAATTTAAATTCCTATCTACAGTAGGCTAACTCGGTCATTAGTATTTACAAAAAACACACACAGTGCATAGTGCTACACTATGCACATAACAACCCAATGTTCTTTTATATACACCAATTCTTTAACGTTACATGTATACTATCTGAATCAGTAACACTCTTGTTGAATTGCATGAAATGTCATCTAGTTTTTCAACACTCTAAGTTGTAATAATTTCTTATAAGCAGGAACACTTGAATATAACATCATGAAGAATGACCGTTTGAGAGTAACAGCACAGGAACTTTGTCCTCGCAAATAAAACTCCATTCCAAACCTAGTTTGTCAGCCAGATCAAAGTCATAAGTCAACACAACAAATATGAATCTCTCCATCAGAATAACCTGAGGCTTACTTACAATGTTATTTTTATATGATACTAATCAACTCATGTACCTGGAAATGTTAAACATCATGCTAACTATCAGCACATGGAACTGGGAAGACCTTACCTCTGTTATCATTTTACAGCTTTTACAGGGTCCGATCTGACTGAATAACTGAAGTATAAGGACTTCTGTCACATCTCTGGAGAGGTTACCTACATATCTGGATAAAAAGAAGAAAAAAAAATCAGCAATTTTCTTTCAGCTCTGGCTCTAACGTGTTATCATTTAACGCATGACCTTTTAGTTCATTTTAACTTCCTCTGTATTCAATACAAATTTTCCAATTAAGCCTGATCTTATGAAAGTAAGATTAATCCTCATTTAAGAAAGCAAGAAATATTCTTAGGCCGCTAAAGTACCACTTCAGAAGACTTTATAAAGAACAAATTAATGTAACCTTGTGTACCAAAAGCATACTGTTTGCTCATCTTATTTGTCAGAATAAAAATAACAAAAATTTAAACCAATCTAAAGATAACTATAATTTCTGGATGTGAAACACAATTCAAAATAAGGTATAACAGCCCAGCCAGTGTGGCTCAGCGGTTGAGCGTCGACCCATGCACCAAGAGGTCACCGGTTTGATTCCCGGTCAGGCCACAAGACTAGGTTGTGGGCCCCACCCCCAGTAGGGGGCATATAGGAGGCAGCCAATCAATGTTCTTTCTCATTGATGTTTCTATCTTTCCCTCTCCCTTCCTCTCTCTCTAAAATCAATAAAGAAAAAATTTTTTTAAAAATAATAATGTATATCTCACTCACACACACACGCACACAATTATTGATTCATCAAAAAATCTGATCATCAAGTGATATCCTTTTACATTAGATATAAAGGGATATAACATGAGTTAATCTTAGACTTCCAACCAAAGCTATTACATGGACGAAAAAGAGAATTAAAGCCATAACAAAACACATAGAAATCAGTGGGGTTTGTTTTGTCTTAATAAAATCGTTATTGATGTTTTGTCTTCACTGTTTTGTTTTAGAAGAAAAGGTAAAATAAAATTCCCTAGCCTAAAACACATCAAAATCAACAAAATATCTATTTATCTAGATAAAGCAAATATAAAGACTTCTTTAGAAACTCAGAGAAAAGTGAAGACAAATACAGGTATACTTTTGACTATGCATATTTAAAGAGTTGGGATTTTTATTATAAATTGAATATATGTATTTGTATAAGAAATTTAAAACACAGACACATTTTAAAAAAGGAAAAAAGACCACCACCACCCAGAGATGACCACCTTGGTTTTTCTTGTATGTACCATGGATTTATTTTAATTTAGCTTACTTAACTGTCAAACTTTTAAGTCTTTTTGGAACTCGGTGTATAATTCCTAAAATTTGTCTGTTATGAATCTCATCGAGCAAACAATATTTGTAAAATTAACAGTTTCTTCTGGAAAGTAAATGGACATACGTTTTTATTTTCCTAATATCAAATTTCTGGAAACTTAGTACGGAGACCAAAATAAGCTTTGCATTGATTACCATATAAAATACCTAACTGCTTTAAGATGGAACACTTTGAAAGGGAAAAACAGACTGAGAAGGGTAAAGATATATGTAATAAGGAAAATTATCTGATTAGTAATGAATAGCAATTTTCCAGTTCAGCTAAGAATTTCATTTCAATGGGTACTAATACCTTTAATTTACATGCTCTAAAACTGAAACTCAAGCCCAATGTTACTTACATAGAAGACTAAACCAGTAACAAACTGGTTTAGGTCCACCCAATGCCATCTTTTCCTTACAATTAAAGTAGAACAGACCCATCAGTAGGCCAGCAGGAGTGAAAGGTTAAAGGATTACGACCTAGCCAGACAACTGCCTGTCTCTTTTTAACTCATAGGGGTTCGTGAGCAATCATGGATAGAATCATTTCTTTTTTTTGTACAAGGTAGATCTCTCTATAAAGAAAATGAACAAGTCACCCTGGTCTCCTAAGTGTTATATTCATCTAACCTAAAGTGCTAGTTAGCTCATTTTAAAGAGAATTGGTGTGGCTAAAACTAATTTTCACATATTGAAGCTAACCAATAATAAAATTAAAACCATATTATCATTATGATATAACAATTAGTTTTAAGTCTGCATTACTGTTTAAAACCTTGAGCCTAGCCGGTGTAGCTCAGTGGATTGAATGTCGACCCATGGACTGAGAGGTCCCGGTTCCTGGTCAGGCACATGCCAGGTTTTGGACTTGATCCCCAGTAGGGAGTGTGCAGGAGGCAGCCAATCAATGTTTCTCTCTCCCATAGATGTTTCTCTCTCTCCCCCTAAATAAAACAAAAAAAAATCAATAAAAATATATATATTAAAAAAAAAATTTTTTTTTAAAAAAAAAAACACCTTTATTTGTTCAGGAAACACTGTATGGGCATCAATTACCTTCCATATGTAACAGTCACAATCAAAGATGTTACTGTTTCATGGGATTTTTATTTAAAGTCAACATATTCCAATCAGTCAGAGATTATGAAGAATTTCTAGAGGCACATTTAGCTATATTAACTTACATTTCAAGCACTGATGCCAAAGAGCAAAATGTTAATCAAAGTTTGGAATGGCATGAAATACTTAATAGAAAAACCTAATTTTAAGGTTTCCTATTTTTGAAATATCTCCACTAAAAGTTCTGTGGTAAAGCAGCAAACTTCTTTCTGCTATGATTACGAAGCGGTCAACATATATTGTAAAGTTCCAAGTGTTTAAATGTAAAATTTCTATTTCAAGAACATATATAAAATAACAGAAAAAGACAAATGGCTCAAATTTTTATTGAGAGGTCAATTCAAAGAGTAAACATTTAGGAAATTCCAAAAAGATTTTTAACTCAAGAAAAATTTTAAAAGGCATACCTTAGGTCTATTTTGTCTTCTAAGAACAGGAACTGTAGGAACTAAAGCATTAAAAATGGAAAAGGATGCCTTCATCTCTAACATCAGGGTTAAAATTCAATTTGTGACTAGAAACTTGGCAGTTGCACAGCAGGCAAAAGTTCACATTGCCAAACTACTTCCTATGTCCCACTGGGCAAAATTTTAAGTTAAGAATACCATGCCTTTCAGAAAAAAGACAAATCACACTTTTCAACACTGAATGTATTCTCACTCTGAAAAGAGTAGCTTCTACCAGGGCTGAAATTACCAGCATTTTTACAAAACGTATTTTAACCAAATGCTCTGAATAAAGTAACATTTTTACTTTTTTTCTTGACAAATTCCTATGCAAGAGGAGATTTTGCAACAATACCCTTCAATGGACCTCTAATAAATGATCAGTGTGTCAATATTTCATTTTAGGTAGGGGGCAAGGTGCAGGAAAGGTACAGGTGAATTAACCAACTACATAAGGGATTTTGACACATATACACAAACATTTTAAAGAAACAGAGATTATGATTAAGTTGAATAAAGGGTTTAATTACAGCCATTATACAGCCAAAGTTATGTTAGTCAATTTTATAATGGGATTTAATGGTATTTTCTTCTACTATTGACCTTAGTTATTCAGATTATACTCTAGATCATTGATTTATTTCCTTCTTTTGACTGAATCTCTATCAGGAAGAACAGTCTTAAAGGATGGCATTGCATAACATTGTATAATCCCAGACCCACAATTCCTACTCATTTTTATGCATCAGATAGATGAAGAAAATAAACTACAATAGAATACCATTATAATTTAATGTTGATGATAGATTCATATATACCATGGCTCAAATCACTGCACTCAAAGCTACCCATACATGTCTGAAATGTGGGTCCTACAAAGTAGGTGTCAGGCAGTCCAGTTCCAACACCAATATTACACAGCATGTCTCGTTTGTTTGCTTTTTTATATCACAAGTTACCCAATACACATCACCCCAAAATTAATGTCAAATGAGAATGGAAAACATCAGAAAACTTGACCTTTAAAAGCAACTATATGAAAAACTTTAGGCTCAACATCAAAGCAATTCTATACCACTTTAAATACCATCAAATAAATGAGTAATACTGTAGGTAATGAATATTTAAAGACCTACCTAGGCTATAAACACCATATTGTTTTCTGATGATAGAACCATATGTCTTAGCTTGTGTGTGTCTGCAGGGAAAAAACCTCACTAGTAACACACAGGCATTTTAAGAAAACAGTTTAAGATAAGCTTTGTTAAGAGTACATTCTTTTAAAACATACTAGCCACTTGAAAACCTAATCCATAGATCATAATGTAAAATAAAAAGAGCTCCATAAATAAACAAAATAAAACCTTACTAGATATCAATCTCTAAAATCACGTTCAAAAGTTTTCATTACATTACTTGCATCTAAAGAATGCTTTGAGAATATGTAAAATAAACACTTTAAAAAACTATGCAGTTTTTTATTAAAATCTGACCCAAAAAATCCCAACTGTGAAACATCTGCTTTTACCTCAACATTTTACATTTGAAGGTTAAGTATATTAAAAATCAACAGCACCATGTGTATATGACAGTCACATCTGCCTATAATTTTAAATCAATCAAGATTTAAAAAAAAAAAAAGGACTTAATACTAATTTAATGAAAAGACGTATAATCATTGTAAAATATTTGAATACCTCTTATTTTCCAGGCAGTGAACTAAGTGCTGCAGGGGTAAGACCTAGGAAGATGTAGCAGTCCTTGTCTATAAAAAAAAAAAAACCCTTCCCATGAGAATAGTGGGAGGAAAAAAAGGAAGACAGAATAGTAAGTATGTACACCGAAGCTCAAGACGTTTCCTTATGTGTATACATGTCACATTTTTACTTTTTTTTTTTTAAATCCTCAGCAGAGGATACTGTCCTCCATTTTTATCTTCAGATAGAGTGGAAGAGAGAGGAAACATCCATGTGAGAGAGACACATTGGTCACTTCCCACATGACCCGGACCAGGGCCGGGGACTGAACCGCAATCGAGGTACATGCCCTTGACCAGAATCAAACCCAAGACTCCTTGGTCCGCAGGCCGACACTCTACCGCTGAGCCAAACCGGCCAGGGCTACATGTCACATTTTTAAACAACTATAAACACAGATAACTTAAGTGTGTTTCAGAGAAAGAACAGGAGATTGGAGAAGGAACATGTAGGAAATAAGGTGCAAAGAAATTAGCTTATTAGTCTATTGGAGAAAGTCTAAGGTAGGATGCAGATGAAAACAAGGCAGATGTAAAGTTAGTTTTATGAATTAAAAGTATTGAAATAGCATATTATTTAGCATGACAAAAACAAGAATTTCTCTTTATAAGGAACAGATACAGTTAATGAGCAAGATACCATGAGAATTTACCAATTATTCAGCAGCTATTATGATGCAATGATGACATTTCAGATTTTTAAATACAATGTAACTTTTAAAAAAATGTTATTTATTTTAGAGCAAGAGAAGGGGAGAAGGGGGGAGAAAGAAAAACATCGATGTGAGAGAGAAACATGATCTGCGGCCTTGAACTGGGGATTGAGCCCGAAACCGGGCAGGTGCTCTGATCAGGAATCCAACCCGTGTCCTCTGGGTGCACAAGATGACGCTCAACCAACTTGAGCCACACCGTTTAGGATAGTACAATGTAACTTTTATCTTTGTCCAACACATGCTAGGTAGGCTCTAAATCCAGCTTTCCCAGATGCTTCCAAATAACTAAAAACCAAGCCTTGGCTTCAACAGATGTTAAAGGACAAATTTCAAGTTTGTTCCAATTCTTTTTTCTGGGAAAAGAAGGCCAAAATGGAAGACAGGACAAAACAAATATAAAAGTTTCACTAAACAGGCTTTCCATCCAAGCATTTGATGTGCCTAAGTTGACCTCAAATTCTCAAAACAGGATGGCAAATACTTTAGTGAGACAGAGAAATCAGAATGAAAAAAAAGCGCAAGCCCCCTCCCAAAACAAAAACAAAACACCAAAACTGTTATCAATATCGTACAGGTATCTATCTGCTTTACTGAGCACACTTTTCTTTGGTAGGACTGAAGAGATGAGAAGCTAGTCAAACTTCCTGAGTACACATCCACCTTCATCTATTCCCCCAAAAGTAATTTCCCCATTAAATAGCAGAGCCAGGTGAACTATGATCATATCAACACCAGGCGGAAGCAAGAGAAAAAAACAAAGCAGCGATTTGATTCCTTGTACTCGAGGTAGGTATGTTCAGCTTCCAGAAGCTAGGAGAACAGAAGGTGCCAATTTAAATATTTAATTAGAAATTACTCAGACTTCTTTTTTTTTTTTTTTTATGCAGGAAAAAGAAAGGAGCGCCACACTATCCAGAAAGGAATGCAAATGCTGAGTCATCATTTTCATTAGGAAAGAAACTCGAATAAGCGGTTGGAGGATGAAATTCATTCATTAGATTGGGCTTCAGGTTAAAAGCAACAAGCTAGAAGAAAAAGCGCTCTAAGGACACACAATGGATCATTTTTATCCAACTCTGAAGGTCTCGATGGATTACAAAATGGGAACATCCAAAGGGCAAAAGCAGTTTAACAACTGGTTGTCAGTTTAGCGTAGGTAGCACTCAAAGTAAAACTTCTTTATCCAAGAAGGGAAAGATGCTCCAGCAGCAAGAGGCCTCCTTCTGCACTTCAAAAGTAGCGGGCGCTTGGCGAGTGTTTCTGACAGCGTGGGCGGGGGCACGTGGGGGACAGAGAGTAGGGGCTTGAGCGGCAGAAGAGTGTGCGGCTTCTTCGGAGAGCCTTAGCTTGGGAGAAGAGCCGGGAGAGACTGGAGCAGGGGACCGGGAGGGCATGAGTGCTAATTCCTCCAGGCCCCCTGGGGATGCGGATGCGGCCCCACCCCCAGTCCCACCCCCACCAGGCCCTGCCCCCGTGGGGACAGCTCCCGGCCCAGCCCAGGACCCTAAAGCAGAGGGAAAGCAGGAGCTCTTGGGGCCTGACAGCCTCTACGGTGCAGAAACTGGCCTAGGAAAGGTGTGCAAAGAAGGGCGCGACAGAAAAAGATCGAAACAAGCCCCAGGCCCCAGGAAGTGACTGTTGGGGGAAGGGAGGGCTTCCTTCCCAAGGAAAAGGGGACAAATGAGGAATGCACTTCGCGCCCGCGCCACCCCGGCCAGGGTGCCGCCGAGAGTCCCGGCTTCGGCCCCGCTCTCCTGCTCCCTCCCACAGCGTCCCACGGTGCCCAGGCCTCTCGGCGCTTGGCACCCCCTCATCTCGGGTACTCACAGAGTCCGGGGCTGCCCGTCGTCTTCCATCATGGTGGGTGCGACGGAGTGATCCCGGGACAAGGGGGAGGGCAGGGTTGGGGAGGGGAGGGGGTGGGGAGGAAGGGGAGGGGGGTTCCGGACACCAGCTGGGGACAGAGGAAAAGGCACCGAACCCTGTTCTCGGCCTCTCTCCCCCCAGCCCGCTCCGGACACTGCGCTCCAACCAGGAGGAGCAGGAGGAGGAGGAGGATGAACAAAATGGCCGCCGCCACCAGCCAGGCAGGAAACGGGGCAGAGCGCAGGCGCGGCCCGCCAGGTCACCGCTCAGGCCAGCCGCCACGGCCTGTAAAAGGGATAACTGAGTGAGGAGAAAAACAGGCTGCTGAGGAAACCGTGTGTCCGGTCACGAGGGGTCACGTCGTCGCTGTGCGCCTCCTGGCCGGCCGAAGCCCAGCCAGCTCAAGAAGAGACAGAGTAAGAAGAGAACCGCCGTGAAACTGAAGTCTCTGGGAATTGTGGTCCTGGAAATGAGAGAGGAAGCACTTCAGAGTGCTTCTGGGAACTGTAGTCCAAAGGAGACGACCGGCGCCCGCGCCGTGCTGGGACGCGAAGAAGAGACTTCTGGGTACTGTAGTTGTACGTGAGGACGTGCGGTGACCAGGAAGTCGGCGTTCTGGGAGGGGAGAGGGGGAATAAAGCGACGTTAAAAGGCAGGGAAACGAGGTGGGGAAAAACGCTGTCCGGAACATAAACTACAAATCCCAGAGTGCCTCGCGCTGGGGGCTGTCTGAGCACTGCTCCAGGCATTTTAAGGCTCTTCAGTTGGTTCAGCGTGAGCTGCTGCTCCGCCTCCGTCCAGGCCAAGAGCGGTTTCTTCAACTGCGGCTCTGGCAGCTCTCTGGCTCCGCATGGTGTCCGAGCCGGCAAGTCTTCATCGCCCTCTGTTAGTCAGAACGGCCGGCCCGCGGTCATCAACCGCCGCCCCGCGCGAAGGGCTGGAGTAGCCGAGGCGGACCTCGGGCCTCCCAAGGGCCGGCCGCGTCCTTGGGGCGCGTTTCTCCGCAAGTAGTTATTCCTGGCTTCGGTAGCCTGCTTTGTAGAATGCCTTGCACGTTTTGAAGGTTTCCCCGTCCATTATCTCATTGGACGAGTGGGTGAGAGTAGTCCTCCGTGAAAATGACTCACTGAGGCAGCGTCATTCTTACAGTGAAAGAAGTCTTTGGGCAGAGACGTCCACACATGTAAGGCTGTGTTTCTAGAGATCCATCATGTGGACGGGCAGTGAAGTCCTGCTTGGGCGTGTGGGGAGCCATGTTCAAACAGGCTCTAGCCCTGTAGAAGTGTGTGTGTGTGTGTGTGTGTGTGTGTCCACCCAGTTCACCGCACGCGTTCCCACTACCTCCACTGCAGGAACGTGATTGAGTTCGTACCCGCTCTTGGAGCGTAATGCAGGGTGGCGCCGAAGACAGGTTTTTCAGCCCGGAGCTTAGGGGTCCCAGTTAAAGCAGTGACTTGAGAGTTGGTTTACAAACGTACTGAGGGCCCCCTCTGCAAGCCACTGTGCTGCTGGTACCACTGATTCCTAATCCAGTAAGGGGAGACAGCTGTGCAGCAAAAGCATTGTAATGTCAGTATGGGGGGAGGGTGGATTTCAACGCAGACGGCTTCAAAGAGACGCTAACAAGGCAGTTGAGCCCCAATAAGAATTAGTGGAAACAGCAAAGGAGAATAGAGGCCAAAACCCATAGCTAAACTGTTATTTTTTTTTCCCCGAGGGAGGAATGGGGGAAGACATGGAATAGGGATCTTGAGAGATAAATTAGGAGGGCAAGAATTTGTTAAAGGATTTATATTAAGCTGATGAGTTTGGGCTTTGCATTTCAGGCAGTGAGGAGCTATTCAAAGGTTTTATTTATTTTTTTATTTGAATCTAGGTATAGAACTGTACTTATGATAATCCAATTTATCCGTGATCCATGCCTGCCCCACTGTATTAATTTGCTATTGCTGCTATAACAAACTTAGTGGCTTACAGCAGGAATGTGTTATCTTACAGTTTTGGAGATCAGAAGTCTGAAACCATTTTCACTGGGCTAAAATCAAGGTGTTGGCAGGGCTGATTCCTTCTGAAGTTTAGGGAAGAATGAATGGGTTTCTTGCCTTTTCTGGCTTCTGGAGGCTGCCTGCACTCCTCAGCATTTGTTCCCTCCCTCCATCTTCAAAAACAGCAGCATAGCACTTTCCTCTGAACTTGCTTCTGGCCTTCTATCTCCTTCTGATTGATTCTCCCACCTCCCGTTCTAATTTACAAGGAAGGACCCTTTGTGATTACTCTGGGCCAGGATAATCTCCCCAGCTCAAGTCCCTTTTACCATAACCTAATATATTCACTGGTTCTGGAGATTAGGGTATAGACATCTTTGGTAGGCCATTACTCAGCCTACTATACCCATCTTTATTAATTTGGTTACATTTTAACAATGTAATAGCCTAGAACCCTCCACTCTAAAAAAAAAATTGTAATGACAGCAATTACATCTAGTTCCCACATACACTAACTTATCCTCCTGCCTTCTCTCACCTGGCGTAACCATCACCCTGAATCATGTCTTTACCACTTTTAGTTTTCCTTTTCACAATGTTTTATTCCATACACACACCCATATATTCCTAAAAAAGTGGTACACATGTATTTTTTAATTGTTTTTGATGTAGTAAAAAATATGCTCATTACACACTTAGCAGAATGGCTAAAATTCAGAACACTGAGGACACCAGATGCTGGTGGGGATGTGAAGAAACACATTCATTGCTGGTGGGAGTGCAAAATGATACAGCCACTTTGGAAGACATTTAGGCAGTTTCTTACAAAGCTAAACATAGCTCCAGGGTATTTACCCAAATGTATTAAAAACATGTCCACACAAAAACCTGCACATGAATGATTATAGCAGTTTTATTTATAAAAATTTGGAGCAGCCCTGGCCAGTTTGGCTCAGCAGTTAAGCATAGCCTGCACAGTGGTTAGAGCATAGGCCTGGGGACCAGAGAGTCCTGGGTTCGGTTCCTGCTAAGGGCATGTACCTCAGTTGCAGTTTGTCACCGCCCCGGTTGGGGTTGTATGGGTGGCAACCAGTCGATGTCTCTCTCGTCGATGTGTCTCTCTCTTCCTCTCTCCCTCCTGTTCTGTCTGAAGATAATTGCAAAAATGTCCTTGAGTGAGGATAAAAAAAAAAGTTGGAGCAACCAAGATATATTTTCTTTTTTTTTTTTATCCTCACCTGTGGACATTTTTTGCATTTATCTTCAGATAGAGCGGGACGGAGAGAGGGGGGAAGAGAGAGAGAGAAACATCGACATGAGAGAAATACATCGACTGGTTGCCACCCACACGACCCCAACCAGGGGTGGGGACAAACTACAACCAAGGTACATGCCCTTAGCGGGAACCAAACCCGGGACTCTCTGGTCCAGGGGCCAACACTCTAACGTCTGAGCCAAACTGTCCAGGGCCCAAGATATATTTTCATAAGTGAATGGGTAAACTGTAGTGTACCCAGACAATGAAGTGTTATTCAGTAACAGAAAGAAGAGCTATTGAGCCACAAAAAGACATGGAGGATTTTTTTTTTTTTTAATTGAAATTGGAAGAAAGGAGAGAGAAAGAAACATCCATCAGTTGCCTCCCGCTTCCTGCATGTGCCCTGAGCTGGGATGGACCCCACAACCTGGGTACGTGTCCTGACTGGGAATCAAACCCACCAACTTCTGGTGTATGGGACAATGCTCCAACCAACTGAGCCACACCGGCCAGGGGTGGAGGACTCAAATGCATGTTCTGTGTGAAAAAAGCCAGTCTGAAAAGGCTACACATTGTATGATTCCAACTATGTGACATTGGAAAGGCAAAACTATAGAGCATAAAAAAAATTAATGGTTGCCAGGCTGGTGTGGCTCGGTGCTTAAGTACTGACCCATGCACCAGGGGGTTACTGGTTTGATTCCCTGTCAGGGCACATGCCCAGGTTGTGGGCTTGATCCCCAGTAGGGGGATTGCAGGAGGCAGCCGATCTATGTTTCTCTCTCACATTCATGTTTCTATCTCTCCCTTTCCCTTTCTCTCTCTCTCAAATCAATAAAAACATTTTTTTTAATTTACTAAAAAAAAAAAAGAATGGTTGCCAGGGAGAGTTGGGGGGAATAGCTGAAGCACAGGGTATTTTTTACAGTGCTGAAACTATTCTGTATGATACTATAATGGTGGATCCCAGAGAGCTACAACACAAAGTGGATCCTAATGTAAACTATGAGTTTTTGTTAATATATCAATATTGGTTCATCACTTGCAATAAGTATACCACATAATAATGGGGGAAACTGTGCTGATGGGGAGAATGTATATTGGAACTTAGTACTTTCTGCACTCTTTTTCTGTAAACCTGAAACTGCTCTAAAAATAAAGTCTTACAGAGGAAAAACATGCATTTGTATCCTTTTGAGACTTTTTTACCTAATGTAATGTGTAAGATTCAGCTGTATTTTATGTATTTAGTTCATTCACTTTTACTACTGTATGATATTGCAGTGTATGAACAGACCACACTTTGTGTGATTTCTCATCAGTGGACATTAGGGATGCTTCCAGGTTTTTAGTATTGTGAACAGTGTTGCTAGGAACATTCTTGTATGTGTCTCCTGTTAGCGATGTGCAAGAGCTTTCTTTGGTTTGGTTAGGTCTGTATCTAAAAGTAGAATTGTACAGTCACAGGGCATGTGAATATTCAATTTTAGAAGATAATGTCAAACATTTTTTTCTAACATAGACACATGGACTCCTGTTAGCATTGTGGAAGAGGGTTTATGAATGGATCCACATCTTCTTCAGCACTTTTGCCAAACTTTTTTGTTGTTGTTAATCCTTATCCAAGGATATTTCTTTTTCCATTGAATTTTAGAGAGAGAGGAAAAGAGGGAGGGAGAGAGAGAGAGAAAAAAAAAAACAGATGTGAGAGAGACACATGGATTGGTTGCCTCCTATACACCTTGGCTGGGGATTGAACCTGCAACTCAGGTACATGCCCTTGACCAGAACTGAACTCACGAACCGTTAGTTAGAGGGCCGATACTCTAACCACTGAGCATAACCAGCCAGAGCACCAGGCTTTTTATCAATTGAAGTGTTAGCTCAATGTGGTCTTAATTTGCACTTACCCAATCAATAAGATTGAGCATTTCTTCATATTTTATTAGTCATATGTTTTTCCTGTACTGAAAAAAAATGTCCGTTGATATAGGTTATATGTGATTTTCTCATAGATTCAAAGGAATTTTTAATGCTAGTTCTTTCTCAGGTATATTGCAAATACTTTCTCCCAGTTTGTAATCTCTCTCTCTTTTTAAATGCCTTTAATGAACAAATTCTTAATTTTAAAGTGGTCAAATCCAGTGTGTGTATGTCTTATTTAAGAACTATTTCCCTACCTCAAGGTCTAAACTACAGACTTTAAGAGATACCCACAGAGTCTACTAAAAGTTTTAAAACTTAGTATTTGAAATTTAAGTCA